GATTTGATGGTCTTATCTACAGCAATCACTAATTCTAAGGCAGTGCTTGAGATTAAATAACTATACTCTAGCAGCTACTTTATTTTGGCTTTATTAGTAAAATAAAGATCAGAAAACAATACTTTATCCACATGTTTCTTATCCATGCATGCAATCTATCAAGTCCAAAAAGTATATTTTCATTTCAAACTATAAAAGTAAATGTTTACAGTGTATTCTTTCAGAGTCTGAATAGAAAAAAAGACCCAGATTGCATGTAAAGTGCAGATTATTTTAATTTACTCTTGGACTTCGATTCAATAAAATGATATATATTGGGGAAAAAGTAGAAATGGTGACTGCCCTCATGGAAGCCATAGTCTTTTGAAGAAGAATAGAAAATTTAAAAGTAATTAAACATTATCTTTCTGGGTTAACTTTCCATCTCTTAATCCCAGAGATGTTTGACTCCAAGAATACAGAACAATTCAAGGTTCTTCAAATGCACCATGATTTTAGTCTTCTGCACCTTTCTGTCCTCTGTATCTCTCTGCTCACAATTGTTTCCAGGATTTATTTCTTTGGTGAAATTTCTACTCATGATTTAAGACTCAGCTCAAAGTTTTGTGAAGCTTTACCCAAATTCCCACACCAAGCAATATTAGTGGCTTCATGCAATGATAGTCTAATGGGCTATCATTAGTTACTTCTTTCTCTCAAGATTCATCCTATTTTTCCTATAACTTCTAGTACTACAGCTCTCTTATCTGATGTGATAGGACTAGAAATATCAACAGCTAACACTGATCAAGAAAATTCTTACGATATGCTAGGCATTCTTCAATGTTCTTTAGATACAGCAATGTATTTATTCCCAACAGTGACCATATAAGGAAAGTACTATTACTATCTGCATTTACAAATGAAGTAAATGAGACATAAAAAGGTTAAATACCTTGTCTAGAATCACATACCTAATGAATATAGGAACACAATTTGAACTCAGTGAATATAGAATTAGAGTTTATACTCTTAGCAAAGCATTGTATGTTGCTTAGTAATTAGTAGTTCAGTAAAAACTTTTGGTTAGATATTTTGACTTAAAACCTTACAGAATATTCATTCAATTAGTAATGTTTTGGGGCATTATTAGTGTTTGTTATATAAACCATACCATAAATACAGCCTCTGAGATTTTCAATTTTGGTTTCTTTAAGGGAAGCAAGAGACCTTACTGATAAACATATATACAACTGACTATTAATTCAACTGATGGATGTAGAGGTTTGCAGGTTCACCAGTCTAGAGCATCTGGTGTGCTGTGGACATCAGTCAGTGTGTTTTGCAAAGAGGATGGAAAGTGATGGTCAAGCTAGTCATGTTGATTAAGTGGAGATAAAGAGGTCCTGGTCTTTATTTAGTCTTGTGCACATTCCCCTGCCTATACATTTACATTTTGTGTTGAAATTGCCTGTTTACATACCCTTGTTCTTTATGGAACTGTAATCTGCAAGCTTATTTTATTCATCATTTTATCCTCAACACCTACAAACCTGTCCTGCACATAATAAGGGCTCCTAAAAATCTTTAATGAATTATAATAGACTGAATTGTCCCTTGTTGTGACATGGTAACAAGAGGGTCTACCACTACCCCACTGAGAATCTTTGGGGATAGGACATGCTCTTATTTATTTTGTAAATAAATTTTTAATTGAAATATAACTCACTTACAGAAAGTATATAAACTATTAGAATACTGCTTGATGGATTTTTACAAGCTGAACATATCCACGTAACTAGCATCTAGTGCAGGAAATGGAACAGGAAGTGTGTTAGAAGTCCATTTCCTGCTCCATTGCTTTCATGATACTCACCACCCCTCACAAGATTTAACTACTGTTCTGACTTTCAACACTTTCGATTAACTTTTTTTAAAATTTTTAGAGTTATATAAATGGAATGATATGTATTCATTTGTATCTGGCTTCTTTCACTCAATGTTGTTTTGTAGGAGTCATTCATGTTGTACATAGCTGGGGTTCATTAATATTTATTGTAGGGTTTTCTACTGAATGAATGTACTTCAACTAACCCATTTTGCTCTTGATATATACATTTGGGTTTCCAGTTGGAACCATTATGACTGGTGGTGTTCCCAACATCCTTATACATGTCTTTTTATTTACATCTGTACAATATTTTTAGGAGTAAAAATTTCCAAATCTAGAGTATGTTTAGCTTTAGTAGACACTCATCAGTTTTCCAACTGGTTGTATAAATTTGTACACCCACCAGCATCTTATGAAACTTTAAAAAAATATTTTTAATGTTTTTATTTTTTTTGAGAGAGAGAGACAGAGAGTGAGCAGGGGAGGAGCAGAGAGAGAGGGAGATACAGTTTCAGAAGCAGGCTCCAGGCTCTGATGTGTCACCACAGAGCCCGCCTGATGTGGGGCTGGAACTCAGGAGAGATCATGACCTAAGCCGAAGATCATGAGTGAGATCATGACCTGAGCCAAAGTCAGATGCCCAACCAGACTGAGCCATCTAGGTGCTCCAGTTTATGAGAATTTAATTTTGCTACATTCTCATTAACACTAGTTATTTTTTTAAATCTTTTTAGCCTTTCTGGTGAGGTATGTAAGGGTAATGCATTATGGCTTTAAATTGTACTCCCTTGATGTCTCATTTAGATGAACACTATTCCATATATTTAATGGCTGTTTTTATAACTTTTTTTGTAAAATGTTAATTCTTCTATCAGAGTTGTTTGTTTTTGTTTTTAATGGTTTGTAACAATTGGGATAGAATAGAGATGGTCCAAAGATGCAGGACAAAGTCACTTGAATGTCTAATTTTGCTTGTATGGAATATGGAGTATTGAAATATCTAAGTGGCGAATGAAAGAGGAGAGATTTCTGCACCACTGTTTGGTTGTTTTGCAATCAACAAATACTTAGAGACTATATTCTCAGTTTATCTGGGTGAAAACATGCTATACTTATGCCACTCATCAGATTCAACGTAAGCAATTGATCTTTATTTTACATGGGATGCCTGTGTCATTCTGGCAACATAGAGAACAATTTACCTTAAATAGATCTTTAAGTACACCTGATGTTTAAAAAGGCTAAGTGGCTTGGCCAAATTTATACAGGTAGTCAATGTCAGAAGTAGCATCCAAACTCTTGCTTTTTGACTCTTAAGAGACATTTTGAATTTTTTTTTCTTGCCACACAATTCTGATCTTAGAAACAAGAGATATCCCATGGAAGAAATAGAAAATGGGCTTAGAAACCAGGAAAAGTAACTTCTTGGTCCAACTGTCAATGACTGGGTATACATCCAAGTGTCTAATCATTTTGGCTCCTTTGAGTTTCATCTTGCAGATTCCCCCAAATTAAGAAATACCCAAGAATATTACATTTCAGGTAAATTTGATTCCAGCTATAGAAGGTTGAAACAGTAATATATTACCTAGACTAGATATATATTTCTAAATATTTCTAGAAGATAATACTCCAATAGAGAAAGTTATTTACCTACTTAGTCTGTATTTCCCAACAGTGCAGAATTTGTGTGTGACTCGAGTAAAAGCTGCATTATTCTTTTAGGAATCAAATGCAAGAATTAACACATACTTAAATAAATGTGCTAGAATTGGTTTTCCAAACAAAAGCTGTAGAAATTTTCTTTCATTATGAAAAAAATCTTTGAAGGCATTAAACCACCCTTCTTCAATAATTGTTCCCTCTGAGGCATAGCAGTTTTCTTACAAGGCAAAAGCTAATGCCACATACTAGATGTGTTCCTTGGGACAAAGGAATAGTATCAAATGAGAACTAGTAGAGTTATTCAGTGGAAAGTGCATTATACACTATGAAACAAAATTGTACATAACATTAGGAATGTCAGCATGTAATAGTGGAGGGAACACTGGAGTTGGCTTTAGGGAATAGATTTCAGTCCCAGCTTGGCCATTTACCAGCTAAGTGAGCTTAGGCAAGTCACATAACTTCTCTGACCCTCGTCTGTCAAATAGGGGTAACAATACTTTTCCTGAATGATTTATAAAGGTTTAGGGAGAAATTAGCTAACATAAGCTGAAGTGCATTTTAAAATGTATTGCATTTGCCAGATGTTAAATAGTGTTGTTTTCTACTTAGATACTGGAGACTCTCATTCCATATTTCTATGTATACACCTCCTTGTGTGTATTAAACTGGCAGCCCAGGGTCATGCCTTTTGTTGTCCACCATTATTAAAGTGATTCAACCTCCTTTATCATATGATTGCTTTCACCCCAACCTTTTGATCCTTTGGATCCTTTGCATCTCTCCTAAATTTAAATCAGGAATTCTTGAGTCCACTAGACCCGGGTTGGAAATTCTGCCCTGTCACTTATTAGTGAGGTAGACTTGAGGCAGATCTTTAAATCTCTCTAAGCCTCAGGGTTTTTCATCTTTAAAATGGATTATTGTGAAAATTAAATAAGCAAATAATCCATGAAAAATACGTAGTACAATTCTCCTAATCCTGGTATTTTTACTGCAAAGATTCCAAAGTGAAAACATGTGGAATCAATCGCTGCCATGACCAGAATAACTGTATTCTCAAAGACATGGTGGTCTTATGGCAATGCTGACGGCCGTATTCTTACATTCCTAGCAAAGTATAATGGTGATGGTTTTTCTTTATCAATTTTTTCCTTTGAACTTGAGGGTGCTAAAAATTCTATGCTGAGAACTTAGAAATTAACAATTTTATTCTTCTGAGTTTCCTTCTGAATTTTCAAATGCTAACAAATAAGTGGTATTTGCAATGCTACTTGGGCATTAGCTTAAATCGATACCAATAGTGAGGCTCTGCCATTGCTTATTCCAAAATGTGTGGCACTGACTTAACAGGAGTGGAAAGAAGGGAATGGATATTTGAGACTTGGAAAGATGAAGACAAATATTTTTTGGTGACAAAACATTTGATAAAGTTGTTCACTGTGACTGTCTTTCAATGTTGTAGATCTTTTGGAAGACATTTGAAAACGATATTAGTAGCAAGGAGGCATTGTGACTGGTTACTTTTGGTAAGGCATGGGAAGAAAGAGGTGATCCCAGACATGGGTTGGCTGACTTATAAGCAAATATGGAAAGGAATTGAGAACAGGAAGAAGTAGAAATAAGATTAAAAACTCATTGTACAAAGAAGTTCATTAAGACTCAATTTTGTAACGCAGCTCAGAGAATGGATGTGACCTCCCAGCAAGCCTGACGCTTTCAATGTATGTTATGTTCCCTGCTGTTGTGGCAGGAGGGAGGGTGGGGGCAGAGAAGGCGAGAGAGACATGGGGCCAAGAAAGCAAAGAATTGAATCAGGTTTGAGAATTACGTGTAAGAAAAAACTTTTTATGAGACTGCAGACACATGGAGTTGATGTGAACAGATCAGAAACTTATTCAAAATTTTAGAACAGGGAGCCTAGGAGGCTCAGTCAGTTGAGCATCTGACTCTCAACTTTGGCTCAGGTCATGATCTCACAGTGAGTCTGAGCCCCACTCTGGGCTCTCTGCTGACAGTGAGGAGCCTTCTTGGGATTCTCTCTCTCCCTCTCTCTCTGTCTGCCCCTGCAGACACACACCCTTGCTTGCACACGTGCTCTCTTGCTCACCCCCTCTCTCACAATAAATAAGTAAATTTAAAAAATTGGGGGGGGGGTACATATATTACCAAAAAAACCACAAGCTTGGTCTTAAAATATCCTTTTACTATGTGAGCCCCAAACTGTACCTCAGGCCTCCAAAGTTTCACGGGCAGGAAGCAGCTGACGAAGCTCTTCAATCCTGAAACAACACCAATTCTCCAAGCTGACTATACAGGATTATGGACAAAGAAGAACCTCCAAAAAGGTGGAATCGGGAGCCACAGAGAACACTGCGGGGGAGGGCTTATCCCAGAGAGCTAATCCCACAGAGCAGGCTGAGAGGCTAATTAAGGAATTTACCCCACTGCCAGGGCCTTACAATGCCTGCCTGGGAGACCCCATCATTGCTGCGGACCGGTGACTATGGAGTCTCTGAGCCGTTTTCCCTGTCCCCCTTTTTTATTTATTTATTGTTTAATTTTTTTATTTCTGAGAGAGAGGGAGATAGTGTGAGCAGGGGAGGGTCAGAGAGAGAGGGAGACACAGAATCTGAAGTAGGCTCCAGGCTCTGAGCTAGCTGTCAGCACAGAGCCTGACGTGGGGCCCAAACCCACGAACCATGAGATCATGACCTGAACTGAAGTCAGATGCTTAACCGACTGAGCCACCCAGGTGCCCCCCCATCCTCTTTTAATGGGAATGTTTAGTCAGTTATCCTGTTCCTGTCACACCTTTCTCTCTTGGTTATGTGTATGTATGTATGCATATATGTGTGTGTGTGTGTGTGTGTGTGTGTGTGTGTGTGTGTGTGTGTGTGGCTGGGCTGAGGAGTGGAAGGGGTGTGGGTAACTTGCTTTTCTAGTTTACAGGCCATTCCATTCTAGGCTTTCCCATTCAGAAAATTGTATTACCATTTAAGCGTTGGCTTAGACTAAAGAGAGGTTTTTTAAAATTTTTCTCTTTTTCTCTCAATTGGTCATCTGCTGATCTGCAAACCTGTCAGTTTTACTGGCAAAATAAATCCAGAATCTGACCATCTCTCACTACCTCCGTTTCTACCTCCCTGTTCTAAGTGATCTTGATGTCTCAACTGGATTTCTCAAAGAGCCTTCTTATTGATACCCTTCTATGGTCTCCACTTTCCAGTTCATTTTCCATACAGCAACCTGAGTGATCATCTTGAAATAGAGGTGAGAACATGTGAATCCTCTCCCATGACTTCCCTTACATCTAAAGCTCAAAGTGCCTGGCCTCCCAGTTTACCAAATGCTGCCCCCTTTGTCCTTCTTTGTCCATGTTCTTCCTCAAATGTGCAAAGTGCTCTCTCACTTTGGGGTTCCCCTCCCCCCATGGCTATCTTCATGGCCCACATCTTCATTTCATGACTACCTCTGCTCAGATATCACTTTCTCAGAGACTCAACCATTCTTTATTTTTCTTTGTAGCCCACATCACCACCTGACATTTTATAGAATATTTAAGGAGTTTTTGTTTTGCTTCCTGATGTATACCTAACTCCAAAACACAGCCTGGAACAGGGTGGGTGTTTGACAAATGCTTGTAATGTGAATGAATAACTTGTTTGCTGCCACCTGCCGCCATCAATAAGTGTTAACAAAGTAAGTGCCGTTAGGATGTAGAATAGGACGGACCCATTTCTTCCTGGGCAATAAACGAAAGCCTTGTGGCAGGGATAGCTTTATGGATGCTCAACCTATGTTATCCAGAACATTGCACTTAGAAGAGCTCTGTTCTTGATTGCATGTTCTGAATCGGGCATGCTCTGCTGTTGATATATCTAAATTCTTAATTTTGAACAAGGAGCCATGCATCCTTTTTTATTGTGATATAATTCACACACCATACAATTCACCATTGTACAATTTAGTGTTTTTTAGTATATTCACAAAGCTGTGCAGCCATCACCACTATCTAATTCCAGGACAGTCTCTTCACCCCAAGAAGAAACCTCATACCCATTTGTAGTCATTCCCCATTTCCCACTGCCCTCCTCCCCCACGCCCCAACCCATGGGTATATACCCTCTGATTAAATTAGTCTATTCTGGACATTTCATATAAGTGAAATCAAACATATGTGACCTTTTGTGTCAGGCTTCTTATGCTTAGTATATTTTTAAGGTTCATTCATGTTGTAGCATGTATCAGTATTTCATTCCTTCTTCTGACAGAGTAATATTCCTTTGTATCCATATACATCACATTTTGTTTTTTGATTCACCAGTTACTAGATTTGGGGGTTGTTTCTACTCTTTGCCTATCATGAATAATGTTGCTATGAACATTCATGTACTAGTGATTTCATCTTTCTTGGATATATACCAAAAAGTGGAATTGCTGGGTCATATGTTTATGTTTAACTTTTTGAGGAACTGTCAAGCTATTTGCCACAGAGGTTGCACCATTTTATATTCTTTCCAGCCATGTACAGGGCTTTCAGTTTGTCTCCATTCTCCCAATACTTGTTATTTTCTGTTATTAATAACACAATATTTTTTGATTATAGCCGTCCTACAGGATGTGAAGTATATCTTATTGTAGCTTTGCATTTCCCTAATGATATTGATGTATCTTTTTGGGTGCCTATTGGCCATTTGTATATTTTCTTTGAAGAAATGTCTATTCAAGTCCCTTGATTATTTAAAAATATTTTTTCTTTTGTCTTTTAGTTGTTGAGTCATAACAGTTTTTTTTATATATTTTGGATATTAGAGCCATATCAAATATATAATTTGCAAATACTTCTCATTTTGTAGGTTGTCATTTTGCTTTCTTGAAACTGTCCTTTGACACTTCCGTTTTGAATTTCGATGAAGTCAGTTTGTTTATTTAATTATTTTTGGTGGCTTGAGATGTAGATGTCTAAGAAAGCTTTCCTTTTCAAGGGAAACTGATTTCCTGATTCAAGGCCACTAAATTTATGCCTTTGTTTCCTTCTAAGAATTTTGTAGCTTTAGTTTTTACATTTAGGTCTTTGATCCACTTTGAATTAAATTTTGGATATGGTGTGAGGCTGGTGTCCATATTCATTTTTTTGTTTGTAGATGTACAGTTATTCCAGCACCATTTGTGGAAAGGTTAATCTTCCCTCATTGAATTGCCTCATCATCCTTGTCAAAACACAATTGGGCATAGATGAATGGCTTTCTTTTTGGAAACTTAGTTCTATTCCATTGTTGTATATATCTGTTCTTATAACAGTATCTTGATTATGGCAGCTTTGTAAAACTGGGAGTTTTACTCACTGAAAACGATGAGCCCTCCAATTACATTCTTATTTTTTGGTATTGTTTTGGCTATTCTGGGTCCCTTACATTTCCATCTGAATTTTAGGATCAGCTTATCAATTTCTGAAAAATTGGCAGATAGAATCTTGATAGGAATTGAATTGAATCTACAGGTAAACTTAAGTAATATTATCATGTTAACAATACTACATCCTCCAATCCATAAACACGAAATGTCTATTTATGTCTTCTTCATTTATTTAAATAATGTTTTGTAGTTTTGTGTATGAGTCCTGCACTTTTGTTATATGTTTCCCTAATTATTTTCTTTGATGTTGTTGTTGATGGACTTATTTTCTTCGTTTCATTCTCAGATGGCTCATAGCTAGTATATAGAAATACAACTAATTTTATGTTGATTTTGTGTCCTGCATCCTTCTGAACTCCTCTATTAGCTATAATAGCTGTGTGTGTGTGTGTGTGTGTGTGTGTGTGTGTGTGTGTGTGTGTTGTGAGAATTTCTCAGGAATTTCTATACACGACATGTCATCTCCAAACAGAGATAGTTTTCATTCTTTTTCATTCTGGATATCTTTTATTTCATTTTCTTGACAGTTTCCCTAGCTGGAACTTCACTGCAATGTCGAATAGAAGTGGCAAGATGGTACATACTTATCTCTTTCTTGATCTTAGGGGGATAACTTTCAGTATTTTACCATTAAGTATGTTAGAGGCTCTGATTTTTTATGTTCTATTGGGCCATACAAATTATGTAGCTGGTCTTGCCTTATAAAGGAGAGAACAGTTGAGCTGAGTATTAAAGAATAAGTAGGAGTCCCCCAGCATGTGAAGAGGAGAGAGAACACTAATTTGTAATATCACCGATGGGGAAAGATTCTGAATAGCAAAGTGATGGAGTGTGGCAGGTATGTGGAAGTCAAATGAGGAGTGAAGGAAACAGGTTGGAGAGGCAGGTGAACTGAGCGACAGAAGGCTTGCTGACTTGTTAAAGAGCTTTCATTTTATTCTGTGATTTTTTTTCCTAGGATGCTATCCTCTTTGATACACATTAACAAAAAATGGAACGAGGGGAAATGAGACTAGAATTGAGGCAGGGAGGGCAATTTCTGGATTACTTCAATATTTGAGACAATGAACCAAAATCTTTTCAGCCTCACCTGGGAATAGCCATTTCCTTGGTTCTGAATACTTTGTCTTCCTTCTTTCATTATTTTTTCTTAAATGAAAAGATCTTTAGTAATAGAAACATAAACACTGAGCATCTGTATTTCAGAGTTCTGCTAACATCAGTAATGGGGCTTACAATATATGTTTTGTTACCTATGAAAAATATATTTTCATATTTATGATCGCCTGGAAAATTGAGATTGATTTTTATATGGTAAAGACAAACGGGGCCTAGAACATTTCATTAGTCAATTCAGTAATAGTATTAATGATTCTAGGATATTTTGCATTTGCATCTTCCTAACCACCATTTTCCACTTTAGGCATTACCTGACACATTAACAAAATTAAAAGATATTCCTTTTCTCCCTCCCTCTCTCCTTTCTTTCTTTTTTCCTCTCTAATCAACTCTCCTTTTTTAAAAGAAAAATATTATCAGTTAATTAGTTCCTCAAAATTTATTTAGGATATAAGCGGCTGAACTAGGCCTCCAACACATTACTTGTCCTTTAAGAGCTTATAGACTTATGAGTGGCCCAAGTAAAGCAAGGCAGCCATATTTCAAAATGGAGTGTGATGTGTCATTGTTACCCTTCCTTTACACATCTGAATTTGTTGGAGGACCACCTGCCACAGCCCTGTCACTGTGGCCTTCATTAAGACAAGCTTCTAGCTTCTGCTATGTACATGAAAGTATTTACTAAATACTGTTGGGATAGATTGAAAGAACTAGAGTTAGAATTAGTGACTGAGTTTACAGAAACAATAAAAAGAACCAAGAACAAAACCAACCAGCTTCCCTAAGAGTCATATGAACTGAAACTTCTGCCTGATCACATATAGCTGTAAATTCCTAGTCCATTCCCTAGATTCACAGATTTGGAAAGTGATGGGCCATTTGAGGGGAAATTCCTCTATCTTTCTTCAAATTATATAACACTAAATCCATGTCATTAAACAAATGATTCTAACCTTTTTTTTTTCCC